GGGTTTCAGAATTTTAGTTTTAGTGTTTAGAGCTTTCAGAGTTTGTTGTTTTCGCTTCGTTGTTTAGGGCTTGCGTGTTAAGGTTTAGGGCCTAGCGGGGATTAGGGTAGGTTTAGGGTTGTTGGTTTAGGGTGGGCCCGGAGTTGGCGCAATGCTTGGCTTAGTGTTCGTAACAATGGGCCTGAATTTGCATTGCGGGAACCTTTGAGCATCATTTCGCCTGGGAGTTGTGCCAACCAACCACTAGTGAGGTTCCCATTTTCATCAGACCCTTTTACTCATTTCTGGACGGGAACATCCCACTAAAGGGACGGGTGCATTATCCATCCGAGGCCAACAGTTCTAAAATGACCTCAGGACCTCAGTGCACGCCGAGGAGCTGCGGCAGCTCCCAGGTGCTGTGTGGGGATGCCCACTGCCAGGCAGCAAAGCATGCCCAGCACCGCACTGACCTTCCAACCGGCACGCGTCAAAATAGGAAAAGGATCCACCGAAACGGGTCGTTTGACATGGAAACCAATGCAAACAAAGGGAAGCCACGTGAAACCTGCCAACATGTGGTTCACGTTAACCTTCTGTTCTCGAATTTTGCGAATCTTCGAGATGCCGCCGGAATATTTGAGCTTCAAAGGTTTGTCGGCACCAACTTGAGTGTCAAACAAATTGGTGATTGACCCGTAAGCATCCCGAAAGAAGCGCAGGGGAGCTAGGCAAAGAAAAGACCCCGAGATGTTTGGGCCCAGCTTATGCAAATCCTCCAGATTGCCCGAACTAAATGGTGGTTGAAAGGGGGGCGACGCCCACAAAAGTAACTTTGAGACAACGTGTTCAATTGACGGTTGCATGGCTAAAACGAAACGCAAACGAACTGAATAATCCTGTTACTGCTCTTGCTGACTCCAATTTGAGTATGCCAACATAAAGCGGGACCCGGTGGAAATGATTGGGTTGGCGCATGCCCTGCAAATTTTCAACCAAAGGGGGGGGCAACTATCCGCCGTATCCCTCACAGGTGTCCCGATTCCGGCTCCGAACGCAAGCTGCGGCTGGTGCCAAGTGGTTGGGCCAACAAGATTACAAAGCTTTACATCGGCCTTGCGATAACCCCACAGGTGCTAGGAAAATCAGCCAAAAAATCCAGCCCTTGGCTTGGATTGTCCAGACTTATGCTCCCTGCAACACGTGTTGCTAGTCAGCAAGCACAGTGGCAAAAAAAACAAAAGGGCAAAAAACGAAGAAATAAGGTGAGGCAGAAGTCTGAACGACATTTGAAAGAGGAAACCAAACGCAAAACGCATCTTTAGGCCTCCCCCATTTTTAGCTGGGGCAGTTTGGAGGTTAGTTTGTGTTTTTGTTTGGCTTGCTCAAGAACTTCGGGTTCCAATCCCAATGTTCCTCAAAGGTTTTTAGAGGCTCTACCCTTCCACCCACCCCCCTTCGGATACACCCGCTGCTCTGCCAAATGTATTTTTTTTTTTTTTTTTTTTTTTTTTTTTATGTTTTTCCCTTTTTTTCCGATGGTACCCTCTTTTTTTTGCTTTATAGGAAACCAAAAGGAACACCCCGATTATTGGAGTCCCTTGCTTGAAACCACTCTCAATATGATTCTGAAAATAGAAATCGGTTCCCTAAAACAATTGGTCTCTTCTTTGTTCCCCCATAATTAACTAACAAAGGGGTACCCCTTTCAGCCTCCAAAAGGAAAGCTACACTTGGTGGTAAGCTATACATGTTTCCAACAAGGTGCAGGTCTCTCAATATTTCCCCCCCAAACATCACCCACAAAGAAGGGAACTATAGGAACGCCGAAGGGTCGTCTAAAAACGGCCCCCCGTCCCAAAACCAGAAACTGGCAGGGAAAGATAGGGACCGCCATGAAAATCGGCTTCCGGGCCACCCCCACGTCCAACCGGCGCCCCAACTGCCCAGAACCCTTCGGCCCGGCCGTGGCGTAGCAGAAGGGCCACAGCAGCAGCTCCCATGCCTCCACCAGAAGCTGCGGATCTGCCTGCGCGCCGTGGGAGGTGGGGTGGGCGGGTGCCAGGTGCGTTCTTTCAAGGACCCGGCAGCTTGAAGAGGTATTTGGCAATAATTCAATAGGTATGTTTTCATTCAAACATGGCATTCATCTGTTTCAAGTATCGCATTGGAGCCTACTAACCGCCAAACATTGGAGCCAACTAACCACCAGAAAGTGACCCTTCGACGAAGCCCCCCCTCGTGGAAAGATGCATGCACCAGCCTGTATGAAACTCATCTGGAGGTTGGTGGACCCGCAGATCGGTTTTGCAGGAAATCCCGGTTCCAAGTTCCCAACCCACGCCTGACCAAACTCCCCCCCACCCCTGTTAAACCCTCCCAATAAAGGTCCAGCTAGTTCTACCTTTCACATCCCACGGAGATGGTTAAGACAAACTTAAAAGAAGCATGGCGACCCCTGAAAAAAAAAAAAAAAACAACAACAACGATTGGTCAGCGACGCCTCGGGCAGAACTGCGCTGAAGAGCAAACAGGGCAGGCAAAGATCCATGGCCAGCGCAGAGAGGCACTTTCCTTGGCTACGATGGCATGCTCAGAAGCTCGGTCCCTTTCTGAAAATCATGTGATTGTGGTTCATAGTTCTCTCTGAGAAATGACATGAAACAAGTTTGCTGCAGATCTGTTTGATTAGGTTGAAGATGTTGCCAGGCCCTTGTTTGAATCATTTGCAGTTTAGACATCCTCATTTTGGTGTCCCTTTGAAGCAGGCCAAGGTGTGGATCACACGTGGCACGCCCGCCTGCCGAATACTACTTTGCATTACGGACCCGCAAGTAGAGGCTCATTTGATGTGCCAGGTATTTTCTCCTTAGTGTATGGGTTTGGGGACTGGTGGGCATATTTCCTGGAGCACGGACCCCTGCCAACCTTTCCTAAACATCACCTTGGCCCGTGCATCCCGGCTTCGCGCGTGTATGTGCGCGCCTGTGTTTATGTATTTTTGTTTTAGGCTGTCATTGGCTGAACAATCGTAACACCAATGCGAGAAACAGTGGCCAAATGCGAGCTCTCTGCAAAAACATTTTCAAGCGGTGCCTCTTAATGCAATATTTGTTGGAAGCGCAATTATAGTCTTACTAAGCGCAATCACCTGCTGCGCCTCAACGAGCCGATGTCAGTGACCCCCCTTGCCAGTCATTCAGAAATCTGGTGCCAAGTGGCGCTTCTCCGCATTCAGTATTTTTCTCCTCTCAAGGTGCACGCCCACCTCAAGAAATCAAGAGCTGCAAAATGGCTTCGCGTGCAAGCCCTTGCTCAAGCATCTCAGCCATGGTAGGGAGCCATTGTCTGCCTTCAGTAAGAAGTCATGTCGACGCACAAGCCGAAGGCAAACACATGCAGGCGAGCAGCAGCAATGAGGGCGCATATCTTGAGGATCGCAGACCTTGCATGCCCCAACCCGGTAACGCTAGCGGGCTCCCTTGCTTGTCGCCGCGTGGGGTTCGGCCAGAATTTCTAGCCCATGGTCCATGAAATCATTGGAGATATGGGGACCCTGTAAATCTCCAACAGAATCTTGGAGACTCTCTACTTTACCCATGTTCATAAGCAGGCAATTTGCAGACGCAAACAATTCCACACACTACTCATAGAGAACTGATTTGTTTAGCATTTGCCGTGGCAACGCTCGAATCGCGTGAGCCTGATGGGCCCGCCGTCCAAGTTATCGGACTGACGGCTGGCTTCTGCCACTTGACGGTTAAGCAAGCCACCAACCAGTGACGAGGTTGCTCGAGCCCAAAAATTAGAAAAAACAACCAGCTACACATGTGTGTCCAACAAATGAGGTCCGCCCCAACCTGAGATTCGAGCTTCATGCGCAAACCTTCCCCTTTAATGAGCGATTTGCAGCACACCACTCAGGTCGGGGCAGCACCGCCTGCGCAATACGCCGACGCTTCTCATCCTCCTCCTCAGATTGATGAGCCTCTCGGGCCCTCTCGAGCCATCCCGCCACGAGAACCTAGTCAGAAAGAACCTATGCCCCCAAGCAGAAATTCTTGTAAAGAGAGACATAGTCCAAATGGTCGCTTCGCTTCACATGGTGATTTCCCTCAACATGTCGAGGGTTGGACGTGTAGGCTAGGTGTATGAACCTACTTACATATTTGATTGTATGTCTCTGAGCATCTTACCGAGTGAGCCTGGTAGACAGACTACATGATGTGTGTGTGTGTGTTGATATTTGTCAGCCAAGAACTCATCAAACAAAGGTACAGGGGTACCACACTTGGGAGGTGAAACAAGCCGCCGGACCACGCGTTGCAGCCAAGATGCCATGGCGATGACTGCGCCAAGCTACGTTAACGCTTGGAGCCAGTATGGCAGAACATGGAGCATCAACGCAACAATGCTTGGAGATCCACGTCTCCGCAGCGTCAACTGGAAATTCCGAGTCTGCAACACATATCTGAGCCTCCCTTTGTGACATCGGAATGCAGTGACCCGGGCCTGAGCTCACAATGCCAACATGCCTGCTTTTGGAAACCCATGTCTCAAGGCCAGCCACTTTCCCTCAGAATTCAATGTGCCTTAGATCCCAGAGAATCGGTCCTGCCGATTCGCTCAACGAAAAATGGATCCAAAACAACACAGCCTGAAAAAGGCCTCTAAGACGTAGGCTCTGCGAGCCTTTCTGTCGGCTGGGTTATTGGGCGGGGGGAGGGGTCCGATTTTGCCCTTTCCTGGTGCAGCCCCAAAGTGCCCCCGAAAGAAACTTGTTGGAGAACCCCCTAAGATGTCTAGGTCAAAAGGTCCCTTAGCATCCAAATGGCCCCCAAAGGCGCTGATTTTCAACCCGTGTGTGTGTGTGTCTTTTTCGAGGGTAGCCCTTGTTCGGCGGGTTTTGAAAGGAAACCGGAAGGAACAACCTGACCTTTTGATCTTTTTTTTGGGGGGGGTCCGACGGTCCCCTTAAAAAAAGGGTGAGCCACCCATCGAAGACAGCCCAGGTTCCGGGCGGCACAAGGCCGCGATTGCCCGCTGCCTTCATCACCACATCAAGGGCCTGCAGTTGAAGCGGCCGTTGTCCGGGCAATCGGCATAAAATTGAACCCATAAACCTTTACCCGTCCCAGGGGTACGCCAAAAATCAGATTTCAGATGCTTTGTATCTATATATATATACCACCAAATTGCAAAGAGGATATAGACCTCTGAATCACTGGCTTGCCTAACATTTGACCCCCAGCATTTGAACCCCAGTTCAACCAACCACCCTCCCACCAAACATAGAGATGCACACCCACCCTTTCTTAAAGGAATCAAGTCTTCCTTAAGGGATCTGTGCACGTACATGTTTGTTGGTGGGAGGATGTTGACCTTGAACTTGTCAACCAGGTGGATTGTTAGAAGACCACACCAATGGAAAGGGTATCTTCATAGAAGCAGTTCTGCATAATGTCACAACGCATTCAGACGCGTAGCTTGGAACCGAAAACAACAACTGACCAGAGCAAAATCCGTTTCATTGTCAAAGGTCATTCATTTCTTGGATGGAATGCTCAGGTATGAAGCAATGTCAGAAACAGTGGACAACATATGCCATGCAAGTTGTTGTCGAAACGAACAAAGTATTCTGATCTTGGTTGACAACGGTTCCGTTATGTGGCTCCACACCTGGGTACACCACAGTTGAAATTGTCGTACACGCCTGGTAGAGAAAGGGAATCCCATTTCAAGGCCAGGCCTGTTTTTGGTGCACAGAGGCCCAAATATGAGGCTACACATGGGTTTTTCTTAAAATTGGGTGCCCTAATTATGTGGTGTTCCTTTTGGTCCTCCAAAAAGGGTACCCCGACAAAAGGTCACACACCCATATGGGAGTCTTTGCTATCCCTTAAGGTTGGGAGAGCCTGGTGGCTTGCCAACGTGGATCCTTGAACCCTGCCTTGTCTGCGGCCTCTTGCCAGCGCTGGTCCCCCGTTATCTGGGAGATGTACCGAAACTCCACCTGCGGCACTCCCCTAAAACGACTGGTGTCCACCGTTTTAACTTTTAAGACACCCCATTTGAGGAACCGTCAACACATGGCATAACTGCTTGTTTCCCAAAGGGGACATGGACAAACTAGGGCTCATCCCATGCCCCTCCCAAGTAGACCATGGACGATCCACAAAGCCAGGTTGTTTTTGGATGGATCCTCTAAGGAACCCTGCTTCAACACCCCTAAGAAAGAAGGTGTGTCACAATGAAAACGTGAGGTGCTCAAACCTGGTACAACCTGGTCCCCGCCTGCAGTGTGGTCACCTCGGCCAGCACCTGGGCAACTTTCCAATCCCCCCAGTGAGGGTCCCCAACCGTTTTTGTTTTTGCCTGGTTTCATGACAGGAAAAGTGGAATCACGCATGAAATTCCCGGGCCACTCTGCCCCCCCAACTGCGTTTTTTCTAGCCCGACCACGGGAAAGATGAAGCTAGCAAAATGTTAGGGTCGAACCCCCCCCCCCAATTTCATGGATGGCTTGGTTCCATAGTTCTAATGCACACACACACACAAACTCATGCGCTGGGTGCATCCACCCACACACATAGGCATCTATACATGCCACATCTGCAAATATGCATCTCTTTCTGCATGAGAAAAATGTCTATCTGGGAAAACACTTAGGTATATATATGTACTATATTTGTGTATGTTTATATATATATATATATATGTGTAACATGTAAGATACTGACAATAATGATAACTAGTCATAATAATAACAAAACAAATGCCAGTGTACCATTCGTAACCCTATTGCCTCCCAGATTCCCACCAATACTAAAGTAACGGGTCTGCCAAACCAAAACCTACCCAACCATTTTTTGAGCCTCCCCAACCCCCCCTTCCGGGATGAACCAGAAAACGGGAATTCCGTTTTGCTTAGTATTTGCATAGTCTACGCTTAAACCCACCAATATGAAGCCACTATTGAACCCGTAACTTTCTCCAAAAATGCATTTGTTTTACTAGAACTTGTTTAACATGACAAGGCTTTCAACGACCCCCTCATTAGCAGAAACCCCCAAGCGATTCATCTGGGCCCTTTTGGGCTCAAAACAAAACCCCTGCCACTTAAAGTCCCTCTATCCAGTTCAACTGGCTAAGGCGCTAAGGGGCCAAAAGAAGGACCAGGACCGAAGGGGCTCTTTCAGAATTCTCAGTTCTGGAGGTCCAATACTATTCAAACCATCGCAAGGAAATGGGAAGTGTGTGGCCCGCCCTTGATCGGCCTTTCGGATAGTTGAATGGGACGCCTGGCTGCCATGTCTTCTATCGCTCTGAATTCGTATATGTTCCTTGGCGCTTGACCCGTGAATCCGTCGAAAGGCGTCAGCTCGCTGGCTTCGCCAAGTCGCCGTGTTGGCGTTCCAGGAGTGCATGCCAGCTTTGCCCGTGCCCACATCGATCTAGGCGCCGCGGTGGAGCGGCAACTTCTATTGGGTTAACATCTCAACCTGTGTCAGCGTAGAAATTCGTCAAGAAACAAATCAGTATGTATACACGTCCCAAATCAACTTGTGTATACGCACGTGTGTCAAGTATAGGTATTGATACATGCTGGATCAACTTTGTCAGCCTATGGCTGGCTACTTTGTCACTGTCAAGAGATCCCTGCGCGCAAAGTGGCCCCAAAAGCCCAATCTCCAAGTAGCAACTGTGTCATCCTGACAGTACACTGTTGCATTTGCTTAGGGAACCCTGAAGAAAAATATATCCATATGTTGAAAGGGTGAGCCGCCTTTGTTGGGTCACATTTTATTGTGCGGGTGGGCGTATCATACGTAGAAACAAGCCAGCTAAACAAGCAGGTATGTGATGCATACGCATACGCGTGTGCATGAGCATTGGCAAATGTATGCTATGTATTTTTGCATATGCAGCTGCGTATGGATTTGTATATGTACCTACATAAATCCGCCGGGGCATGGGGGCGGTGTGCTGCGTTGATTTTGTATATATTATGTTTTCTAGAGGTTAGAGGTTCAATTTGTATGTCTATGTATGTCGCCTGGGACGGGAAAATACGCGGACTGGATTTCTGCATTTCGCATTTCTGGATCTCTGAATGTCTGGGTCTCTCTGGGTCTCTCTGCGAGTCTCTGCGTGTCTCCGCGCCTCCGCGTGTCTGTGTGTCTGTCTGTGTGTGGCTCTGTGTGCGTCTCTGTGTGTGTCCCTGTGTGTGTCCCTGCGTGTCTCTGTAGTGCCTCTATGTGGCTCTGTGTCTCTCTGTGTCTCTGTGTGTCTCTGTGTGTCTCTGTGTGTCCCTTGCGTCCCTGTGTCTCTCTCTGTGTGTGTGTCTGTGTCCGTGTCCGTGTCTGTGTCTGTGTGTGTGTGTGGTGTCTCTGTGTGTGTGTCTGTGTGTGCCTGTGTGTCTGAATGTCTCTGTAGGGCTGTGCCTCGCCTCCCCCCATGGGGGCAGCGGAACCAAGCCGGAGGCCATTTTTTGTTTTTCGCATGTATCGCGCGTAAAGCTAAAAACGGATATTGCACAATTCAGCTAGTCTGCGCGTCAGTGACATACACACACAGGGTTTAGCCATGTTTAGCCTCCTTCCAACTGTGAATCTTTATCGAGCTCTACAACATGATTCATGACATGAGTCAGCGTCCAAATTACTTGTCTGGGGTGTATTCATTCCGACGTTAGGACGTCCCGCGTCGCTTTCCAGGTTTTTCTCTCAGGTTTTGGGGTATCGTTTCTTAAAACAAAGAAAACGCAAGCACAACGTGTGCATAAATTAACAAGGCAAATGCCGGTAGCCCTCAAAAGCACAGTGAGAGCCCCCAAAAGGTTCACTTTACTTTCCCCAGGGAACCCCAATTTGTTTTACCGTCCTTCCGGTCGGTAAAGCACGAACCTGCAACTGAAACCCACAGCCAGCGCAGCTGGATCCAACCGATTCCCTTTCAAGCTGGTGATTGCAACATGCTTGACTTGCACACAAAACAACTGGCACACGGCAAACTAACCTGACACAAAAACATTGAGTGCACCGTGTTTGGTGGCTTTTGTGCACAAACTGATGCGTCTTCAGAACTAGGATTTCCCTTTTGGTACGTGAATTAAGTCCCGAGAGGCTAAGTTCCAGGGTCGCCTTGTTTAGACATGTTTTAATCCCACTGTTGGATTCTTTGGGTGTCCTTTGTAAAGGAGACCAGGGATCTAACTGTTTGAACCAATTGAGTCCCAGCCTGGTTTCAACATCACCTTATGCACCACGCAGACCAGTGGCCGGTTGTTGAAACAAACAGGCCAACTTTCGTCCCCCCCCTCCCATTTGCCGGGTTTTCAGCCGTGGGCAAGGGCATTCCGCTCGGCCTCGCAAGCGATCACACCCCAAAATTGAGCAGTGCCGCATTAAAAACGGATGCCAAACAGGGCCCTAAATTTGACAAACCCCGATTTGTCTTCCTCGTTTGGCAGGAGGGCCCCAAGAATAGGTTGACCGATAAGCTTGGTCGTATGAACCGGTTCGAGTTCCTACGTAGAGAGCCACAGGATCGCAATGTCGCTATTGGCCACTAATGGCAATGTTTTTCGGCTGCAATGGCTCCCCGCCCCTCGAATCAGCGCATGACTTTTTTCCCATCCCCCTCCCCCCAAGATTGCGCGGGGTCCCCTGTTTTCAAAACCCCCAAACTTCATAAGGGGTTAACATCACACGTAACCCAAAAACACACACAGACACAGACACAGACACAGACACAGACGCAAACGCAGACACAGACACAGACGCAAACACGGACACGGGCACGGGCGCAGGCGCAGGCCCAGGCCCGGCACAGGCACAGACAGAGACAGAGACAGACCGACAGACAGACAGACACATAGACACACACAGACACACCACACAGAGACACACTGAGACACACAGAGACACACAGAGACACACAGAGACACACACACAGACACACCACACAGAGACACACAGAGACACACAGAGACACACAGAGACACACACACACACACCACACACACACACACACCACACTCACAGCTCAGGCAGCACTGTCATCACAATTGTGACGGTTTCCATCCTTCTAGCTTGGTATCACTGTGAGCCGAGGAACATCAATGAATCTTGCTAGGAAAACTCCCCGCCATTTGTTTGCCAGGAATCCTTAGACCGAAGCACCACTCCCCCTTACCAAGTTCACCATCGAAAAAGGATCCAAATCAGCTTCCCGGCTATTGCTTGCTTGAAGATGCCCCCTCACCCCCCCACGCCAACCTCAAGGGGGTGGGGGGGGTGCTAGTTCCATTTTTCAGGTCTTCCGCAGAAAAGAAAAATGGACACCCAATTCCATGTTCAAGTGTTCAAGGAACCCGTTGGGCATCCTCCCAAGCAGCTTCCCGGAATCCTGCACAGTGGCACACGCCCAATTTGTCTTGCCATTTATGTTGGCTTCTCTGCACCACAAGGGCCACTACAGTCAACATGGCAATCCGACCATTTAGAGAAAGGCCCAAAATACAACTTCCATGATTGTTGAGCGATTCCCATTTGACTGGGGTGAGCTTCCGTTGACCGCAGTGCAGCTGTTGACCAACCAACAAAATGCTCATATTCGTGAGCAAAGTGACATGCACAATGATATCACTTGAGCCCGAGCGGCTCTCGATTGCCTTGCTTTACGTACTTTTTGGGGATGTCCATCTCTCACTCGGTCACTCGGTCCCAGCTCCCTAGCGGCCATGCGCAAAAGGGCACCTTTTCGTGGGTGGCTGGGCGCGAAAAGCCTTGCGATTCCTCGCGCTTCGAGCTGAGGCCCCGAGCGTGCCAAATGCACCCAGGAGTTTCTCCCCGAGGTTTTGGGCCTTCAGAAGTCTGGACCGCTTTCAAAAAAACGAGCAACAATAGAAGCCCCAAACCAGTGATTTTTCCTTTGATTTCTCTCCTCAAGCACCCCAAAAAGGCTTCCCTCAAAGATGTTATGCCCACTTGAGGTTCAAACAAAAAGGGGAAATTGGGAAAACACTGTTGAAGCTCGAGCCAAGTTTTCAGGGCCTTAGGGTGGCCATAAAGTGGATGTACATCCCACCTCCCCCTAGATGCAGTATAGTGAAAATGCCACCATCCCTTGTGGGCAAGTAAAGGGGGGTGGCTCAAAAGTAGGTGGAAATCAACTACTACTTGCCGGTAGCCTGGACAAGCTCCTTGGTCACGCACTTTGGACTTGGGACTGCAAGCAAGCCTGACCTGGCATTGACAATTCAGCCGCAAAACCTACCCTCCCCCAGCTGCCTAACATAGAACCGACCAAAGAAAAGTTAAAGCCCCTTGCAAGGGACAACCGTCTTCCAGCCCCTCCCCGCCCCCAATGCCATGGCAACGTGGATGGGAGAGTAGCTGAAAAAGGCTGTTCGGTTCAAGTTTTGGGACGGGCCTGGGCGCAAAGCACGTGCACCACAATGTTTGCTGCTGAATGTGGGTGAGGCCTCCAGAATGGGTACGTTTGGCTTGCCTTCAAAACAGCCCTCCAAAACGCGCCATGGCATCCTCATAGCTACAACGGCTGGTGAAGATTTCAGTGTTGCTCATTGCTCATCATTGCTCACCTGGGCAGTCGTTGCATTGCGCCGGCTTCCTCGTGACTTTAGGCCCAACTGTGGACGTCTCCGTCACCCCCCCTCCCCTCCTTCCGGCACGCTTTTGAGCACGCAAAACATGCGCGCCCATGTTACACCAGAACAAGATTACAGGCTCAGCTCCTCTTGCACCTGGCTGCTGTCACCGCCGCGCTGAGCGTGACCCCAGGCCACAACAGCCCCAGACTCAAGGATGGCGGCAAAAGCGCTGCCAGTTGCTTGGATGTGCTGGACGTTCCTCAGCTGCTCTTGCACCTGGCTGCTGTCTCCGCCACAGCCTGGATCACCCCATGTCACAACAGCCCCAGATTCAAGAATGGCTGCAAAAGCGCCTCCGGCAGTTGCTTGGATGTGCCGCACATGCCTGAGCTGCTCTTGCACCTGGCTGCTGTCTCCGCCATATTCTGGATGACCCCAGGTCACAACAGCCCCAGATTCAAGGATGGCAGCAAAAGCTGCGGCAGTTGCTTGGATGCGCTGCACATGCCTGAGCTGCTCTTGCACCCGGCTGCTGTCTCCGCCATATTTTGGATGACCCCAGGTCACAACAGCGCCAGATTTGAGAAGGGCAGCAAAAGCATTAAAGGTTGCTTGGATGTGCCGCACATGCCTGAGCTGCTCTTGCACCTGGCTGCTGTCTCCGCCATATTCTGGATTCCCCCAGGTCACAACAGCCCCAGATTCAACAATGGCAGCAAAAGCGCCGCCAGTAGTTGCTTGGATGCACTGGACATTTCCCAGCTGCTCTTGCACCTGGCTGCTGTCTCCGCCCCACTTTGCATGACCCCAAGTTACAACAGTCCCAGACTCAAGAATGGCAGCAAACGCTTGCGATGTTGCTTGGATGCGCTGAACGTTCCTCAGCTGCTCTTGCACCTGGCTGCTGTCTCCGCCCCGTTCGGCACAGCCCCAGGTCACAACAGCCCCAGCTTCCGGAATAGCCGCAAAAGAAAAAGCTGTTGCTTGGACGTGCTGGACATTGATCAGCTGCTCTTGCACACGGCTGCTGTCGCCGCCCCAGTCTGCACCACCCCAGGTCACAACAGCCCCACACTCAAGAATGGCAGCAAAAGCTTGCCTAGTTGCCTGGATGTGCTGCACGTTCTTCAGCTGCTCTTGCACCTGGCTGCTGTCTGCGCCATACCCTGGACAACCCCAGGTCATAACGGCCCCAGATTCAAGAAGGGCAGCAAAAGCACCATGGGCTGCTGTTTGGATGTGCAGGACGTTCCTCAGCTCTTGCACCTGGCTGCTGTCTCCGCCGTAGTGTGGATCACCCCACGTCACAACCTCCCCCCCATAGTCATGCAAAGCAAACGCTTTGCGTGTGGCAGCCAGCTTCCTAGGTTGCACAACCGCAGTCACCACGTCCCCATCTCGCAATCCTGCCTCGTTCAGCGTGGCCGCCGAAACGAGCTGCCGGTCTTTCGCAGTGAGCTTCACGCGGCGCTGGAAATGCTGCTGCGCCGCAGCCTTCAGCTCGCCAATGGGCGTCTCCGGTGAGACTTCTATTGAGTGACCATCTCCACTGGGCAAGCGAACATCCACCTTCATGGCGCAGAGGGGGGAGCTTTCCGGGGCACATTCAAGCTGCCAGACACGAACCTGAGACTCAAGAACACGTTGCTGTTGTATTTTTGTTTGCTTGCTCTTTTTTTTGAGGGGGGGGCGGGGTCCCCTTTTTGAGCGGCATTTGAAGGGATGACTATTTGGGGGGCTCAAATTCAAATCCTTCACAAAGAAGAGATCATGAATGGGTCTTAAATCATTTTTTCTGGTCTAACTGGCGTTTTGTGGACAGAAGTTTTTGAGCCGAATCCAAAGCGAGATCCGCGTCGGCGATTTGCTGGAATGGACGACCGGACCTGAAGAAAAATGGGCCGCGCCTTCCGTGGGGAGTCATGAGTACCCATGACCCGAAGGAGAATACCCAAAACTAAAGGTAAGGAACTACACAGGCACCCGCATTTAGCAGTTGGGATTATTTCTAGCTACTGTACCCTTTGACAGACTCAGGTTGTGATTTTGGCTGGGAGTGATGGTTTTTTGCCTGGCCTAATTCAATTCAAAAGAAAAGGCTCTGCAGGGGTTCCCTGATCAGGGGCACGAAGCTCGGAAGGTTTAGTTGGTTTCAACTTATCCTCTTTCCAACATTCATGGGAGTGGAAGGGGGGGGGGGTACCCCAAAAGGAACAGTAGTCTTTCCGATCCCTTCTCTGAGCTCCCATGATTGTTGGGAGGGTAACTATATAAATTGATCCGGGGTTACATTAGATTCCTTCTTTGAGAGTGCCAACTCAGCTGTCCAAAACCAGATCTCTTGTGTGAAGGAGCAACTTGGGAAGACGTGACGGAGAGCGTTCAGGGCTCCCACGAAAGCGACGCATTTCGGACACCCAGACGCTCAACAACTTGGGCATCTTGAACTTGAAGACGGCTTATGTTTGGTTAAACCTTATCTATTCATCGGATGGGTTTAACAGTCTGGGGTTCCCACTGAAACCCCCTCCATTGGTTTGCTGGCAATGTGCGCGACTTGCGTGCCCTTTGTTGGGGAAAACACGTGGGAAACCATGAGGGCATCAGTTCCTCCCCCCAACCTCAATACCTTCGCTTGTCGCAGGTTATCTTACACCATTCTGTCCAGGGACCCTGTTGTTTGTAGAAGACTTTCAAAGACCTAAACTCAGGGATTGTGACGCCTGGTGATTGCAAAGAACGATGCTTGAACATCACGGAGAACCATCCCCTCTACATACCTTGGCCGTTCCCAGGAGCAACCCTCCAAATGGAAGATCCGAACCTGCGTGCTAAGAGAATCACCCCCTAGAAAATTGGATGACTCCACGCCCACAAAAAACGGGCCACAGTCATGGCAGTGTGTTGTCATTTGCCCAGCAGAAGAGCGGAACAAATTGGGTGAGGCAGATTGAAGGGTACCGCCCATTTGGAAGCTGTCTGAGAGGAAACCACAGGGAATCCAGGAAAACCAAAATTTCAACCACTGGAAAACTACTCATTTCGCGCTATGGCCCCAACCCACTACCACCTCCCAACATCTTCCAGCGACCCGTGCGGATCCGAGCGGCGGTGGTCAGAAAGATCTGCTTGCCGCTGAGGGAATAGGCAGAGAGCAAGCCTCACCGGCCGCGTTCACTCGTTTCTCGCTTTTACCAAGAAGTCAACTTTCTTCTCAAAACTTAACCGTCTTTATACTTATTATTATCTTGGTTTCCGGTATCAATATATTCTTTAATATGCCCCTTTCTCTATCTATCCTTCCGTTTTCCACGTACCTATGATATCATATCAATATATCTGTCTATCTGTCTATCTAGTTATCTATATCTATCTATCCATGTACATATCTATGTTTCTAGCGAACTCTACCCATGTAGCTATCAACCTGCTGCCGTTCTACACCGTTCTATCTATCCACGCGTCTATCTGTTCATTAATATACTTGATCTGTCTTTCTATTTTTGTAACCTCCCCCGGCCCATGGTTCTGTCTATGGATCTGCCTATCTATCTATGAACTCGTCCATCTGTTCATCTGTCTAACTAAGCTTCTTACAATCTCATTCAAGCAAGCGAACAATCTATCCAACTATGGACTTTCCAGGCTGGCTGCCATATTATCTAGCACAACCTATTCTAAGCGGTCCAATCAACCTATCTGTATCTCCCTATCTTACCTAATCTTGTCATATCCAAACTTGTATGTAACTATTTGCTAATCGATCCTAATCTAACCTAAGCTAATCTTGCTCATCCATCTATCTATTCATCTATCTGACCTATCTATCTATATGCCTAGACAATGCATCTATCTTAGCTATCTTATCCGCTTATCTACGTTACCTATCTTATCTATCTGTCCGTGTATCTAATCTGCCTGTCTGTCTTGACCAGTGCGTTCTGTTCCTCACCTTCTGACAGGCTGGGCCCGCCGCGAAATGTGCACTTGGCCTTCTGAAAGCGCTGCGCCTGCCTCGAAAACCGTATCGGACCTTGCGAACGTGCTCAAAGGCACTGCGCCTGCTACAAAACCGCATCCTGCCAGGAAATCTGCACCTGACTCTGCACAAGCGCATTGCCTAAAGCCCTGCGCCTGCCACGCGAACTAATGCTGCGAAAGGCGCTCACGTCCGTGCCAATTGGCTCAGCTCCAAGAACGCCACGAGGCTGCTGGAGTGTTGTGAACGCGGTCTGAGAGCACTCCAACCCGGCGTCGGAATCAGGCCAGCTTTCGACCAGCCCAAGGGACTGAAACTCGCAGAGGGTTGCTCTTGTTTAACAGTTCTATTCCCCCACCGCACGAGCTTCTCTTTCGCGCGCACTTCTTCTTCTCTTGCCTTCTGTCGGAGAGCTAGGTTTCAATTACTTGGCGTACCACGGAAGTTCCTTCTGGTCTTCCTTTGACTATGTTATGCTAGCATTGGCCCAAACTCCTTATTCGAAACCCATAAGAAAGTCCATGACTATCCCAAGCAACCTCAAGCCAACGTGGGGGCAAGTGACCATGACGCATTTAGCGCCATAGTTGGAATGGGGACCCACTGGTTGACATCACTAGGAATCCAGGGGCTGGCTTCCACCAAAGGGACCGGTCCAAGTCTGCCAAGGCCGGCAACTCATCTATGCAAACTGCTAGTGTACCCAAACTGCAAATTGCGGGAGCCCCCCAAGTGACGGGTCACTTGATTTCCCCAAGTTGCAATTTGCTGGTGGCTTTCCACGAAAATAACTAGGACACGTGTGGGTCCAACAAGATGAAATTGAGGGACCCTTGCCAACAATGGACCTTCAACCGGATTTTACCCCGTCAGCTGGTCCGCGCCTGTGAAACAACTGCCGCATGGTGATGGCAGCAACCAGGTGATTTGGGCAAATCGCTCCAAGAAAGAAACTGGAAATTTTTGGGATCCCTGGGATCCCCAAGTGAAGAAAGGAATAAGAAACTGGAAATCAGGGATCCCCAAGTGAAAGGAATCCCAGAGGACACCAAGGAATCTTGGCATTGGCCCCCTTCGATTCTGAGCTCCTTCGAAACCCCCCGAGCTCCGCCTGCGAAGCCGCGGATGTTGATCTCGAAGAGGCTGTGTTGGCCATGACTGGCGAAGCCGAGCGCAGGTCGGTCGCATGGGCCCCAGCTTCCATCTCAGTGGTTTAGTGACTTTAGTGGCTACCTCTCCACTTCCTGGTAAAACATCATCTGTGGCTTTCCACTAAGCTTGCTGGTTTGGTGGTGTGGAGGTGGTTTCCCATTTGCCCTCTAGAACTAAGGGTGCAATTAAGGGCCGCCTGACAGTCAGTTCCCTAAACTCACGCCTGTAAGGGGAGACTGTTTTTTGAGGGTACCCGTGTGTTCCAACAAGCAGACCAACCAGTTTTGGGGGTCACCCAGTTTGTAAACACACCCAAACCATGTAGGGAACAACGGAAGCTCATTGGAATCTCTGATGAACTAGGCTGTTGAGATTAAGTCGATTTCAGGACTGCCTTTGAACAAGCCAGAGCATTGCAAGTAGGGGTTTGCAGCTGTTGTACTTGCAGTGGGCAACCTGTGAAAACGAACTAGGAGGGAAAGTCAAGTGGCGAAAAAAAAAGGTTGTAGAACAGAGAGTGCTTCAGCATTGCCAGAAACTCAAATCTGGACCTGGCAACTGAGGGATCTTGAGCCAAGGCATGCCAAGGCCCTTCCTGAGCTCTTCCAACTACAGTGCCAAAATGCAGAAGATTTGGAAGGACGAATTAAGCATGCTCAGGCCACAGCATGCCAATATGCCAATACATGTTGATGCCGAAAACATACTTCCGGCGTGTCAAAACAACTGCAAAGCCCAAACAACTGAAGCAAACAAGTAACTCAGAAGCGCGGTCCGAATGAAGCAAACGCATTGGCCAAGCACCCGGTTCCCCTTCAGTAAATCAGAGCATTTCAACGACAAACAGCCACCCCACAGTCCTGATGAGGGCTTGAACAAATATGAACAAATGTATTTTCCCCGTGCTACGTACATGATTGTCTGTTAGTGCAAGCGATTGGGACCCGTTTGTTGAAATTGGGTCTGTGGAAATGGTAGTTGGCATCCGCAGACACTCGGGTGCAAGAAATAACTCAGAGGCTCGGTTTTAGCCGTCGCGTTTTCTTGCCAGCCTCGCTTGCCCAAGGACCAGGAAACAGAGAGTTCACCTTTGGAACCAAGAGGCTAAAAGGTGGGCTTTGGGAACTGCACATCTGCAAGCTTAACAAGTAAGCATGAAATTGTGCACACTTGCGTCGTCTGGAAATCCGATTTGCAGGTCTCCCAACGGGCCTGCCGGGCGCTGGTAGGGGAGAAGACTCCAGCCAGACGGCTGCTTCCTGCACATGTCGACCCCCGCCCCCCCCCCCCCCCCCGGAAAAATAAAAATAAAACAACAACTTGCATTTTCCCGGGGGAGTCAGGGGTGAATGCTGGGTTCTCATATGACATCCAGAAACTCGGGGAGTCAGCAAGGAAGGGATCTGTACGCAAGATCTGCATTGAAACGAGGTCCCAGCATGGAAGTTCTTCTGGGGTCCCGTTGGGTGTGGATGCCATTTTTTCAGGCTCGCTGCATTCGCATTTTGGGAAACGCTGTAGTTTGCAGGGCTATCTGGGAAAAAAACCCGTGCCTAGCTTCCGGAAGAAACAGCTGGCCCATTCCTAGAAGGCCACGTGCTGTAAAAACCGACCTTTTCTGTGCTGGATCTCTTTTGGTTTCCCTTGGGTTTCGTGTACACCAAGCTGACAAGGGTGCCGCAAAAACACGCTCCCATGCGCATCGTTATCACCTTCACCCGCACGAGTCACGGCATCGCCTCAAACTCCTCCTTCAAACCCATCACCCAGAGCGTGGACCTTCGCAATGCCACGGCTGGGAAAAAACGGCACACACATCAAACAAGTGAAAGATGACAGAATGCCGCACCACTTGGCCTACTCAATGCCTCCTTGAGCCTCAAGAAGTGCAAACGCCGGATTCGGACGTTGAAAAGGTGGGCGAAACTGGCTGAGAGCGACGGTCACACAGCTGATGAGTCATTGACTCGCGGACCCGACAGGTGTGTTGCTGGTTTAGAAAAGGGCGTGCAAAAACCTTGCCATGCAGCATTTTTCTTGTGGCTTCCAGCTGCTATTGTGTGGCCTTTTCTGGGGGCCTTGGGACTGATCAGCTGCTGAGGAAGGAGGTACAGGACACGCTCCCGGGCACAACATACCAGTAGCTTGCCCTTAGAGTCTTCAACGCAGCCCCAAACAGGCACCCTCAAAAAGACGTGTTTGTGCGCCTGAGAGAATGAGAGAGAGAGAGATAGACAACCGATGCTTTGCACTGGGGCGCCGGCAAGCCGTCAAGCATTGTGATTGCCTGGGAACGTCAGAATCGGATCGAAGTCTCGCAGAAGAAACAAACCAATGTCCCAGGTGATTCTTCTCGACCAGGCACCAGACCATTCACGAGGGAATCCCGCAAGGCAGCGTGAAGTGCCAAAAGGCGCTCGAAGGCTGCGAGTGTCCAAACGCATGGGACCTGCAACCGCTCAACTGGCCCTAGCTGCCACAAGGGGAACAACATTGCACTCTTGCTCAGCCATCTTCTAGGAGCAGGGGCGTACAATGGGATGCAAAAACAGAAATAGCAAAGGCGAAAACATAACAATAAGGGGAAGGAAGTCAAAAGACGAGGCAAAAACAAAAACAAAAGGAGCAAAATAGCATTGTGGGATCGAAAGGAAAGAGAGCAACACCAGGAACAGTTGGGTGAAAGCGGATGGCACGACCTCGCCATTTCGGGTTTGTCATCCTCTCCATTTAGGGGATGTGAGGCATCTGCGGCAACACCTGCGGCATGTCCAAGATGGGCCATTAAAAAAAAAAAGACTTTCCTTTAGTGTCCTGTGGAGACAACCCAAGAAGGGCACCCTGAAAAAACAAACACACCCACCTACTGCCACCTTTCACCAATACCATAAAGCATGTAGCGGCACGGTTGCCCTGGAAGCAAGCGTGTCCGTTTCCTCAGGCCGCAGCCATCTTGCACCAGTCCTGCGGATTTTTGTTCAGGCTTCCAGACACCAGGCGAGATGTGAGCCTTTGGGCTGACAAAACCCAATCTTCAAACACTCACCTTAAGTTGGCAACCCAAAAGGTGATGTTGCAAACCGAGGCGGGAAATATAGACTAAACCCTGCTTGGGCGCTTCTGTTGATGCCTTCGTTTGTTTAACAAAAAGGGCCTTGTGGGTTGTGCGCCTGCTTTGAGAGCAAGTCGTTCACTGATGAGTTGAGGAAAGTTTGGTTGGGGGGTGGGGCTCATGGAAAACAATCCTTCACGAGTCGGCTGCTGCCGAAATAATGCCTGCAACGTTCCAGCAGGAACACCACCAACAATCAACCTGTCAGTGGTGCAACAAGAACACGGAAACGCACGGAAGTCACACTACAAAAAGGATCGTCCGGTGGTGTCGGTAACTGTCCGAATTCTTGATAGTGCCTGGTCGTAGCCGGTTTTGCCGGGTTGGGTCCAACAAAGCAACCATCCAACAGATGCATCTGCATGTTCTCCACATGTCCAAAATCTGAAACGAGCGATCCCAAGTCAAGGACCTCAATGGCAAGTTGGTGAGGAGCAGATCTAAGCAACAAAATATTGGGTGACTCACTGAATGGGGTCTAGCAAATGGGTTCCTGCCGGATGCTACACACATGCTGGTCCGTTGGCCCACCTTGCAGACCCCGTCACACCGGTCCCCTGAAATGGAATCCCCAAACCGGGGGGCCATATGAAGTTTTGCTCTCAAGGTGAGGCCGAAATCCCGGGCCCGCGACCTAATCACAATGCGCCCCCCAAGAAATCAGCCATGCCAAGCCCTCCTCAAACAATTTCGCTCCCTAGGCCGATCCAGGTCAGCGTCCCAAGTGCTCCATTCAATGCCCACAAAAACGTCTGGGCCAATACGGCTAACAAATCAAACCAATTCTGCCTCGACCCAGGTCTCCCCCCGTCCCCAGGTCTCTTCGGGGTCCTTGACCTTCCCTGAGCCCGGCTGCACCTCGTCGTGGCCCCAGGCCTTGGACCTGACAAGATGCAGAGACGGAAGCTGAACATAGATTCCACAATTCCAACGTTGCGGGGGGTGCGATTGGGGGTCTGGTGGGTTCCATATTCTTGGGAGGGAAGGTTAGTGTGTGCTCAAAAGGGAGGATGACGGTATATGCTGAACCTTTCTCTTTACTGTATAGCTTTTGACTTCCGGGCTTGCGATTTCGGGTTCAAGGCGTTTCAACTGCGTCCTCGGGTTTCTGTGGATGCTATTTGGGGCGTGGTTTCCCAAACAACCACATCCTGTCAAACAGGCATACGCGGCTGCTTCGGACAGGTTGTTTCAAGCTAAACCCTTGTCATGTGTCGGACCATTTGGGATCAGATATTGGCTGGGATCGTCCATATACAGGTTCTTTAATCCTTTCCAACCTAGGGTCAATGTTGACAAGGGTTGTTGGAGCTCAAAATTGACAGCTCCATTGACAATGACAAGGCGTCGAAATCAGACGCTCCCAATTCCTTCTAAGCTTAGAAGGTTCAAAGAACCCTTTCTGGGGAGTAAGGGCGCTTTTGGTATAGGGTAATTAGGGGGCCGGATTGCTGAAGGGGGCTGCGCAGCGCCATGCATCCAGCCTGTAGCCTTGCCAGGTATGCTTCATGGCCGCACGCACCTCCGCAGCCTTGGCGGAATCGCGAAAAGCCGGGGGGCACAGAGGCCGCTCCCTTGCGACCGCTACCTCCGTTACAACGAAAAAGGCCTCGTTCTGCAAATCCTCATGCAACGGGTAAGCCACAAATTGCGAGGAGGGCAACTCTCAGAAAGCTCACCTCCCACGTCTTTCTGACCGAAACTCGTGCCCCATGACGTTCAACATTGCACTGCCTTCATTGCCTCTTGAAAGATATCTTCAGTCAAACAAATTAACAATCCCATGTTTGGCGTAGCTTTGACCATATAATACACGCGCAGAATTTGCCTGATTTGGCTGGTTTAGTGACTGTTTGACTTGTAACACCATCAGGGTATGTGTCGAATTAGGCGGGGGGCACCAAAATGGTGGGTGTCCTTCAACCCCACCTCAAACAAGTGGTCTCAAAGCAATGCAAACACAAATGCACACATGGACAGGTAACTAGCACCCATGGGTCTGATTGGATCTGCTGAAGACTCCGGGCGATCCAAGCAAAAGGCAAAGAACACGCCTCCCCCCCCCAAACCTGAGATGGGAAGACAAGAGAAAACCTTCTCTTTTGAGCTGGAGCTCTAGAACAACCAACACGGTTGTGTGGGGTAATATCAAGACAGGTTATCTCATGATTGCGATAACATATGCAACTTAAATACAACGAACTTCCAGAACTTCCAGGACCTGGGATCCCCAAGTAGCGGACCCACATTATCATGAGCTCGTTTTACCCTCAGGTGAGCTCGCCGTAGAATAGGCCGAGAACATGTTGTTTGTACGTGTTTGGCTGTCACATCCCTTCGTGAGTGCATCGGCCGCCAAACAAAGTCCAAGCTGTTGTGTTGCCATCTTGCTGGGGCCTTCCCAAGTCTAAAAAAGTCCAACACAAGGGAGACTTCCCATCGCTGGTCCGTGTGCCATAAGTCACCAGGCCGCAGCCTCCCTTTTGGTCTCCGGGCCCAGCCGTCTGCTTCCCGCTGAGATTTCAGCAGCTCCTCCTCTGAGAAGCGCTGCAGCCACTCCTGCGGCACTGCGAACTCCCAACCCTTCGACGGGGGGAAGCTGCGCTTTGAGGCTGCTTGATTTTGAAGGGAAGCCCCTCCCACCAAAACCACATGGGGAAAAGGACACTCTGGTTGATTTCGATTGAATTGAAAGTCCAAAAAAAAAGGACAAAGGCCAACAGAAAAAGGTCGCGCCTTGTTTTGCGGCGCCTTACAGGAGAACGTGGGCAGTAAGGCTGAAACAGTGATCACGGGCTCCATGCCTTCGGGAACTCATCCCAGAAATGCCTTGTCTGGGGATTTCTGAACGGAAGGAACCCCAAAAGAGACTCCTCTAAACACGGATGTGCGTTTTTTTGGGTCCATAACTTTAAATGGGCTGTAACCAATTCGACAAATGGCTTCCTTTCGGATGCTGGTACACGCATAATGCTGGCAAACCAAGAAGGCAAAATGTCAAAAGGGTCCCACTGCAACCGTGTTACAGAAGGGCCGCCCCCCCCACCCCACACCCCCCTTCACCCACCTCACTCATCTTTCTGCTCGGCTCCTTGGGCCAAGTGGCCTTCAAGGCCTCTGGGTCCAACGTGGTGCCAGGAAGGCTGTCCACTTCCACGGCCTCAGCTGCGGCGAGTGCCCACGAGTTGATCAACCCTAGCTTCAAGAAGGCTGTTTCCAGCAGGGTCTAAACATGGCCGCGTTCAAAGGGGCGTTCCGTTCGTTCATCCAACCGAAAGGAGCTCCAAACCACCCCCGCCTCCCACAAGCATAGCACCAGGAGGGTCTCTGTTAGTGGGGCGAGGCTATTTTTTGGAAACGAAGGCCCATGCCTCGGGCTCCCTGCCAAGGGCTCCTGCACCAGGGGATGGTCTGGCCTGCGCACGCGAAGTGCGGGCCTCTTGGGGCTGGAAACGGCCGAGGGAAGCGACCATTTTGGAGGCTCCACCAGCTGTTGCTTCAAAAAAAGAGAGGTAACAACGCAATCCAAACTTGTGCAAACAAACTCCGCAAACTCCATTGAAACTTGTCTACGTGCTAGCAAATGCTCGAAGGTCAAAATCATTTCTGCAGAAGGACGCCAAGCCCCCATGCGCTGCGCTCCAGGGTCGCAAAGGCACCGGAAGCCCATCGCCTCACGGCAATCCGCCAGTGGAATCTTATCGCCAATACTCACTTAAAGCCGGCTCACAATGGCAGCCGTTGCAGCCGAAAAGTGGTGGTGACTAAACTTGACTAGTGACGTGTTCCTGAGCCACAAAAGGCAACTTCCCCTCATGGCTCTGAACCCATGTTGGAGAGAATGACTGGTTGCAAACAGCCATTGGACTTCTCGGAAAAAGGATGCGATTGACTGGTGGTTTCCAATGAAGTTGCCACTTCTGGAGGTTCCAAAAAGGGACATGGAGGAAACCCTGGCAGAACTCTGGCAAACTTGCACCAAACTCGATTGCACGTGTCACTTCGCAGCTCAAATTTGAAGGTATGCCTTTGGGCTCTTACATTGATGCTCGCTACTTCGCATTTGCTGCGGAGTTTGCGTGATTGCGCTTGTGCCTCTAGTCGACCATCCCTGCCAGCAATCCCGATAATGGTGATGTATGTTGCATTTGATGCCACATGTATACGTACATATATATATATATAATACGGCTAATGTAGAGATCGATGTCAATATGTGAAACATAATCATACACGGCAATCCAAGCGTGTGCAAGAAGTCACTGATTGCCAAACATGCCGGACCATCGCAACTAAACCGCCCACGAGTCAGGTTTGAGTGCCTGCATTTGGTTTAAATGTCTTGACGTAGCCGTGCTGCAGCAGTGTGCCGGACAAAGCGTTGAGCGGCCTCGGGTAGTCACACAAACCGGCCAAGCAAAGCATCCATCAGCAATTCAGACGCATGCCGAACCACAAGCCACACACACATACAAACCATGCCAGGCGGGTATGTGTTAACATAGGGGGGATGTGTTTTATGCTGTTGGTTTCCTTTTGAAACCCACGTGAAAAGGTCACCTCTCCCCACAAAGCACAACCAGCCGTGCTCGAACCAGGGCAGCGGCTCCACGCCCACCTGGAACTGCACCAGCACAGCCAGAGCCTACCACAAGCGCGCCTCAAACCGCAAGGAGTTGGACGCGTTTCGCATGCAAATTTGCGTCAAGGGGAAGCCAAATTTCCCACATGTTGCCAGGCACCCCCATTGTTAGACCGTCTTGGTTGATCTAAATGGACCCGATCGATTCCCAAAAGCGACTGTGGGCTGATTCAGAAGACCAAAACGGCTTGAACGGGCGAAGCGGTTGAGTCTGGCAATGAAGGCCCGTGTTGGTCGGCTTTGTCTCCAGATTTGGCTTGCCCCAAAACAGGTGGGGCTTCCTTTGCTTTCCATTCAAAACAGACTCAAACGGGGTACCCTCAAAACATACACGCCTGCGTGTTGCTGGTTGGCATATGACTACGCATTGAAAGGCCCACAAAAAAACTGCTTGGTGGTTACATAAACCTCAAAAGTTGTCCATAATCCCAACTAAATAATAATTTTCTTACTTGAAGCACATTTTGAACAGTAACAGAACTCTTTCAATCCTGATTTGGAGTATACTCAATTCAAATATTTACTGCAATCATCACAACAGAATGGAGGGCAAGAGCCCTTCATCATGGGTGGAATTGCTGGTTGTCAACCTCGCTACAATGCGTGCAAACATACTTTGGGTTAAAAGAGCTATGCCCCAGTTGCCTGGCCGGCACAGAAAAACAAACAAAAACAAGGAAGGATTTAGAGGGGCCCGAAATCTGAGCTGGGAAGGCTTGAATGTTTCTTGTTGGATAGATTGACCACCAAGTTGCCCACCATGGCCTGCGCGTTGGTTCCGCACTGGGGGGAGCCCGTGATGAGATCCTGACAAGGTTGGTCCCCATCGCGCTCCGTTTGGTGATGCTCCCATGCGGACGGCTTGAATGAGCAACCAAAAGCAACCAGCTGGAGGAGGTCCCTAGTTTGGGGGGACATTCGCAAAGTACCCAACTTAGCTTCGCAAACTGTTTGAAGAACACGGACCCCGAGCCCGCATTGAAGCAGCTGCTCGTGTTCTTCAAAGAGGCACTGGGAGGAGCATGCTGAATGCGGTTCAGGCAAACTTCCGTACGCTTCAGGGCTTGCATCAAGAGCTCCAGCGGTGGTCCTGCGTGTCGCAGAAGAGCAGGTGCACCTGAAGCAACCCAGAACAATGTCAACTCAGAGAGGGCGAGAGAAAACATGAAACGACATGCGCAAAGTCGAAGTCACCACCACTTATGTGTGGCGAGGTTGCCTCGTATGGAACGCAGTCCATTCACAAAGTCAAAAAGTCACCGACAAAACTTGTTCGTGTGGAACGCTTCATTGGCGCATCATCATTCCAATGATATTATGTAAACAACCCTGTCAAATTGCAAAACACCATGGAACGCAAGTAATCCTTTCTTGCTATTAATTTAACCTTCCCCTAATAAACACCTCCCAGCCCACCCCAAATATCGCCAATACTTATTTGAAATTACCCAATACTAAACCAATACTAAACTTTGCCGGACCAGATCCACTCAGCGAAACTCTGCGGACGTGATTATTGGAGGTCACCATGGAACGCAGTATGCAACAATGCTTCACCAACTTGGCGCTAGATGGCCTGCACAAGAAGCATGGAACGCAGCTATACTTCTTGGCTATCTTGTCTACCTTTGGCTTGGGAAAGCTTGCGCGCACTTGTCCTGGCACCCAAAGCCAATATCCCCCACCCATGTGGAACAAGTAATTAGGTTGCAAACAAGCTGGCCATAGTGCAAACCACCATGAAACGCAAGGCCCAGCCGAATAAGAACAAGTATTATAGCACTGGAAAGGCACTTTCGGACGAGACCCCGGACGAGACCTTTTGAAAGTAGGGACGCGGATGCGATATGTCCCATTCGAACACAACAACTGACACGAGGAAACGCGCTTCACGACCTGCAAAGCCTGCAAATCCCAACGGCATACAATATCCACGCGAAACTACACAGACTTAATTTTGACCCCGTAAGCAATACCAAATTCCAACTCCCAACGGCAATGCAAGCGGCAGGGACTGTTCCAAGTTCAAATCCCCATGGTGCAGCAGCAACACTTCAACAAGTCTTGTGTAGCTAAAAACATATAGTATGCACATCGGATATCTCTATCTATCAATCTATCTCTGCATCTGTTAAAATATGTGCATATCATGTGCAAACGCACAGGCTGCGTGAATGAACATGGGTTCAGACACAGCACAGCTAAAATCACGATAAAGGCCTGCCTGCACCAAAACTAGGCACACTCAAAATGACAGCAACAGAGTGTACCCAAAAACCTGGTTGGAACTGCCCTTACCCTTCCCTTTCCCATTTTACTTGGCTCAACTCAAGGGGCTATCCCTGAGATCTCCCCGCGCGGATGCCGCGCATGTGAGGCCCAGACCAACTTTGAGCCTTCCAGGGACTGGCGCAGAATTCGCCTCAGGAACGAAGCATCTTTGCACTACTTCTTCCTTGCCTCTTGGGTTGCTCCAAGCCCCAGGAACCAGCAAATGACTCACCTTTGCAGGTTTGGTCGCACCAAAGACACCATATTCCCTGCCTCCTGCGATGTGCCTCTCAGTGGCAAATGGGTAAGGGGCCTTTGTATAAAGATGCTAAGCTGCTAGTCTTCCAAAACTCGGCCCGTTAGTAAAAGGGTACCTGCGCTTGAATCGTTGATTGATTCCTGTCTCAGTCCATGGCACTTGGGAATGCAAAGCAAAAGCAAACCAAAGCGCCCAACCATCTGCTTCTTGGACAGCCCTTGGAGATTTGAGCATGGGAAATAGCAGTTGTGGGGTGCTGGTCCATGGTTTGATCATTCCTCAACAATCCCCTCCCCACCCCAAATTGGTGTTGACCACGGACTTATAAACCCGTCTTTTCCTTTTTTTTGGGGGGTGTTCCCCTCCAAAAGTGAAGAACCCCCTCTCGTGGGGACGCCCAACTGTTCATCAAGCAGGGGCTCTACTAAGATGCGGGGTTCCCGGTGTTAGACGAGACTATCCCAATTCTCGTTGCCTCGGGCCCCCTGCAGGTCGCCCATGAACCCGATAAAGCCGTGAGCCGTGCCCTCGCGGGGAATGCTGGCTCACGAAAGAGAACCTCGCAAATCCTGAGGTCCCAATGGCTTGGGTTGGTTTGGGTTGGCTTGGGCTGGTTTGGGTTGGTTGGTTTCCCCTTGGCTTGGCATCTTCAGGCCACTTTGTTGGGGACCTCTGAGAAGAGTGGCTTGTTGAAGCACCCCTGTTCAAGGGATGATGGAAGCTGAGAGCAGGGTTTGGGAAGACTATGGTTGGCAGCTGTCCACTGCCGTGGTTGTTGGAAAGGCGGCCAAAGGCTGGGGGCTCCAGTTGTTCGTTTCTAGTCACAGGCACCACGTCATGTCATCATCATGTGCTCTCCGGGCATTTTGACACGGACCTAGCTGGTCCGCATGCATGGCTGTCTTTCGCGACACCTCACGGGCCACCAGCGCCTGCCAAGTGATTCCGTTTCCCTGTTTAGCGGGTAGCCATGGAAACCACCATTCAAAAACTGAAAGGACAATTGCCTGCTTGAGTGGTAGCGGTGACCCACGGGTAGGAAGTGTCATGTCAATGTAGCAGCAGAAAGGACGCTTGAGAATGTTGGACATCCACGTGTGCCGCTGCCGGAGTTGGCAGGATGGACATGATGCAAGCCACCCCTCCCGCACCAAGGCCGTCTGGTTCTCAGGCTTCTTCCATGTAAGCAAGGTGCCGCTAAGTGGAACTGGTGCGGACTTGCCAATGCACCATGTGCCAGTGTGAAGGCATCATGCGGTGGCGCAAACACACACACACACACACACAACTACAAGCAAGAACGTAGGTCGCATAAATGCAAGCAAGGAAACGAGGATGTTGTGGCAGCCGGGGGATATTTGGGTTGGGGATGGCTTACCAACAAAAGTCCCAAAATAGCCTGGACACCCCGAATTTCGCTGAAATTCACGGCACTGTGCACAGTTCTGCAAACCCTTTGGGTTGAAATAGTTCGAGAATTGGGCCACCTACTTTCACCCAGGGGCCTTCCTGGGTCAGCTCGTGGCCCTAACCCATCCTTCTTACCCGGCCGAGTTTGAGGCACAAGCGCCTCTCAGCACCCAAGGCCCGGACAACCTGTTCTGGCTTTGCTACAAGGTGGGCCTGAGTCGGCCAAAATGTCTGATGCGCGAAGGACACACCTTGGGATATGGGCCTCGGAGAACCCCCCCCCAAAAAAAAAACAAAAACAGGAAACTCTTTGCCATGATTCTTTGTGCTTTGCTCATTTCGCCCTCCGAGCCCGAGACCCCGATCAGAAGCTTGCCGCTGTCAGACAAGACTCGCTGGTTGATGTTGGCCTGGCGTCCGAACGGCCACAAAAAGCCATTCCTGACCAGCAGATCCCAGTGTACACCATCCAGGTGGTTCCATTGATTACCTACTACACAGTTGAATGGAATCACAGGGAGAGTGAAAAAGCCGAATTCACCCAAAAAAGACACGCTCATCGCGTCGTTACCTTTGGCATGAGGTTCATTAACCCGGGCATGTCGGATTTTCGCGCTGGAATCTTGTCAGTTTGCGCCTGCTGAATCTGCAAGGGCCTCAGGAAGGACTCAATTGGCTCGCTGTGCCATAACATATTGTTTGGTTGTTCAATATAGAGTATCCATGGTCCTAATCCGTGATCTGCAGAGGACACCGCTAATTACAGCAAAGGGACAACCGCCACAACAACTGGCACAAGCGTTCAGCATGGAGTTTGAGCAACCCAAACATCTCCCGTTGGCATGAGGCTGCGAACAAGTAGATGGCACAATTGCCTTGCTCGTAAAGATGATGAGGCCAAAAAGGCTTGGAGTTGGGGGCTAGAAGTGTGGAGTTGCGCCACCTACTTTCGCCCAGTAACTAAGCCGCTGGCTGGTTCTGACGCACGTACTTCCCCAGGCCGAACTGTGTGTCAACCACCTAGGGCAGCTGTAGCCGGCTCAGACTGCAGGACCTTGCAGGGTTCCTCCGACACATGTGCAAAGTCCACCTGATTTACGAGGGAAACTTCTGGCATTTGGGTGATTTGTTGACTTGACCCAATCACTCTTTCCAACAATGCGGACTGTCCTCCGAAATCCTTGAATCGTCAGATCCAAGAAAAAAGGCCAGCTGGCGTCGAGGCTTTTGCCTCGAGATGCCACTTCTCTGCTCAAGGCTCATTTCTGACCGCACCAATCTTGGCCCAAAGCTGACACACACCAAAAGAATATGTTCAGGTTCTGTTGCGTTCTTTTGGAGGGGATCTCAAAATGGCCCCTTTTAGAAGGGGCCATTTTGAGATCCCCTCCAAAAGAACGCACGTTTTCAAGGGAACCCACACAGAAATAACACACTCTAGAGTATGGGTCCACCATCAAAAGCATGAAAACGAGGAGCCATGGCTGGCTCAGCTTGGCTCCAGCTGACTCTCGATGGGCTCCCTTTGGCAACTTAATTTCATCCAGCGGGCCTCCGCGCATCCGTTCGCCAATGCATCTTACAGCCCTCTGGGAGCGTTGCGAGGTTTTTGTCGATCATGATGCTGGCCCGATTGTTGGCCTGCGTCTTGCGACTTGTTTGGACACCTCGAACACCAGAGTCGGTGGACTCAAATTGAAGTCAAGTACTTCCCAGGGCCTTCAGCCGAGAAGCTTTCAACTTTCACACCCTTCCAACAATGGAGGCCTTTCACGACGGTTTCCTTCCAAGCCAAGCACCCACCCAAAATAGGCACCCAACAAATTCTCCAGCCAAAAGGTGTTGCAAACCACTTCAAACAAAGCACCTGCAAATTCTACAATAATTCCAAACTCTGGAATAAAAGAAATTATCCCCTGGTTCTGGTGGGGTTCGGTCTTCATTTGGGCACTTGAAACCACCTGAAATAGGGTGCCGAGCCCAACACGCGTTAAAGACGGCGCTTCCCATGTCATTCCAAGCGCTACTTGTTCCGCTTCCCCAATGGCACGGCCAGCGCAACGCTCCTGAGCTCTTTACGAACCCAAACGAGCGGCAATCGCATGTAGGTCAACTCCTGATCCCCAGACCCCCAGTAGTTTTCAAAGCGGGAACCCTTCTGCTGCGCATCCAGGAAAAGGCACCCCAAACACTTCTAGGGAACTTCACACACACACATGCATACACATACACACACACACACCACACACACCACACGCACACACACACCACACACACACACACACCACACACACACACCACACACACACACACCACACACACACCACACACACACACACCACACACACACACACCACACACAACACACACACACACCACACACACACACCACACACACCACACACACCACACACACCACACACACCACACACACCACACACACCACACACACACCACACACACCACACACACACACACACACCACACACACACACCACACACACACACCACACACACACACCACACACACCACACACACCACACACACACACCACACACACCACACACACACACACCACACACACCACACACACCACACACACCACACACACACACACACCACACACACAACACACACCACACACACACCACACACATCACACACACCACACACACCACACACACCACACACACACACACACACACACACACACCACACACACCACACACACCACACACACCACACACACCACACACACCACACACACCACACACACCACACACACACACACCACACACACACACCACACACACACACACCACACACACACACACCACACACACCACACACACCACACACACCACACACACACACACGCACATGGCTGCACCCTTGCCTTCGAGAGGGAGAAGCCCACTAGCGTCCACTTGTCATACGGAATTAGCGAGGTCTCGGAGTAAATCTCGTTGCAGCCACTGCCCTGCCGCGGCATCCCCCCAAAGGCTGCCAGCTGAGAGGGGCTTGCAGTTGGGAACCAAGCCATTGATTTCTCGGACCGCTCAACAAAATTGACCAGGTAGAACCACCTGCTAAAATGGTCAAGGGCGCTGCTACAGGGCGGGGATGGAGGGGCTTTGGGGGTTTTGTGTTGTTTTTTGTTGTTCTTGTTTGGGGGGGCTGTAAATTACATGTCTGGACTCCCCTCCCCCCCAACAGATTGTGATTTATGGGGCTTTAATGTGTTGGTTTTGAAGGGCCATTATTGGGTTTCCGGATTTTAGAGATAAACCCACATGGGTCCCTTTCCTGAGAGTATACTCCGATGCGAATTAACATGGAACCGCCAACAAAAGTCCCTTGCAAGGAAGGCTCCTACCCTTTTGCGGATGATCAAACGAGAAAGAAAGGACACGACCTATTTTGATGCGGGCCCACCAACCCACGTGACCCCGTTTGCGTCCCAGCAAATGAGCCGTATTGAGCCATGGATCTTCAACTGACACTGTTGGCGAACAGTGGTACTTTCCTACGGTAAATGATGGATATTGACTGGTCATCTGCACTACTTGAACGGTTGATTGATAACTCTCGCTGGCAAATCAAAACTAGAGCACCCTTCACTTGGGGGGCCAAAATGATCTGACAAGTTGAGTGACCCCGGGGTCAATATGCACTGAACTAACCTCAAACGAGTTTAGACCCGAAAAGAAGAAACTCTGCAGGATCCGCCAAGGAAACCAAAATATGGCCCAAAACCGTGATTAAACGGGCTGAAAAGGGAAACATAGGGACGCTCGAGTTGATCAACCCCATTGCCCTGTCTTGACAGGTGTCATGCTTTGGCGCGCGAAGAGTTCGAGAATCGACATCGTCAGCATTTCCCAAGTGACCCGAAAGGTGGGGAAGGCAAGAACCTTGTTTGGGCCTGGAGCCAATCTTAATGGGGAACCCGCCAACAAAGAGAGATTTTGAGGTGCCCCTCCCTCTTGCCGGGGGTTGACCCTCGCCTACCTGCCTGAATTGTGGCCAAACTTAGGCTGCCTAGCCAACAGAAATTTAAGGACAACCCAAATGGGTAACAGCCCGACAAGGTGAAGCAAGCATTGTCGCCACAATCCTGGCCGGTGGGGCTGGATCTGTCCAGGAGAGTCGGAGCTGCCGGTTCGTGGTGGACCACTCGTGCCTGACGCGCGGACCTTTGGATGAGAGCTGAACTAAGGTGACTGCGGGTTGCAACCAATAAAATACACGGATCTCTCTTGCATTAGAACTTAGACTCTTTCCAAATATGTATTTGACGAGGACCCAATTGTAAGTTGGTTGTAATTCAACATAAGGACATATTCCAATTGGAATGCCCATCAGAAAATATGTTTTTTTTCTTTTCGTTTCTTTTATTTTCGTGGGAGCACCTGTCCAAACGAGATTGATGGGCAATTGATTAACATCTAAATGACGTAAGCTAAAGCTTAAATAGAAATTCACTCCAAAATATGCTTTAATTGACGTTTCAACTATATGTTGAATGGAATTTACTTAAGTAACAAAGTGCGTTGTTTCTTCAAATTGGCCTGCCCTGCCAAAAGAGTGAACAACCATTAGAAACTCAAGGGCAATAGCACTTCAATTATTGACATATATGTCTTGATTCTCGTATATACATCTACTAGCTAAGGTTCAATCATCATCTTATTTGGAAATAAGTTCCTACTTGAATTCGGACTTAATGTAAACCTTCTACTTGCTCGATTTCCTGTTTGTGCTTCTTGGACAACTTGAGAATTACAGTTTTCCATCATGCAAACAAACCTCGAGCTTTCCAAAAATCAACTGACAGACCCCATATTACCACAGCACGTAGCCATGGAGTCTGGCATCTTGGTGTTTTAGTTCTTTTGGACAACGATGTGCTTTCCGTGTTCCAAAAGAATGCCCCCCCCCAAAAAAAAAAAACAACTACCTCGGGGTTCCCAAAGAAGAGACCCCAGCTCAGGATCTGGAGCTCTGGGGTCGGGTATGTCATGTTTCTTTTTTGGACAACTCGAATCATTCGTTCATAGTCCAGTCTGTTCTGTATGTGTTCCACAAAACTCCGAGATCTTCCGTGCTTTTGCGTTTAGTCCGATTTGAACATCGCAGGCCATGGCCATGGCCTATGTTTTGCATCCTGCCTTGTGCCGCCCGGGGATGCCAAAAGGGGCCTCCTTCCACTGGCACCTGTGAACCTGTGGGTACGTGGATCAACTTCCTCTTGGAGGGACCCAGTCGCCATGGCAACGTGGGAAATGCACTTTCCCGCTGTCGTAAAAAGGAGATTGGGGGGGGGGGGGTACGGTCCAACTCCAGCCGTACAACGAAGGCATATCTGACCCAGAAAATGGAACCATTGCGACCCAAAACTTCGAATTCACTCCGGACTTGTGGCGGCAGAACCAATCTTATGCCCGGCCTCTTCACTTGTTCGATCACTCCACTTAACTGGCTGACAACCCTGGTTCGCAAGCCCCTTCAGTGGTGACATCCAATTGCGGCTGATCAACCATTTACGAGGTGGGATGGTCCAGGCATGTCACCAACTTAGCTTCCAACCCCCGATCACAACATGGCGGCAGTGCACGAACAGGGCCCAGCCCTTGCTGCTGGTGGAACCTCACGCGGCCCGGAAACAGCCCCCGCACTCGGTTTCCCACATTTTCCCGCTAAACGTCGCTCCCTCAAAAAAAGGGCGCAACACAGCCAAATCAAGCATTTGAGCCTTCACATCGGGGCATGGAAAGTTTTGTGGGCCATGGTGGATCCCTCCATGGGAATCCTTGCAACCGGCAAGTCTAACCTAAGTGCAAATGCGGGCAGAGTGTTGGGCAGAGATAACCTCGACTCCAATCACTCCAGTCTTTCGCTAGAGTTGTCAAGGTTCTCTAAGAAAACCGGCTGAAAAGAAATTCTTCGTAGCTGCCCAATGGCCTGCAGAGATTCCTGTAGCTGGCTGCTCCTTCTCGAAATGCTTTGAATGAAAGCTTTGGGGCCAGGTTTTGCACACCGGAGCACCTTCATGACCCACGAGGGCCAGCCGATGAACCGAATATGGCTCCACCCACATGTCCCACACAATGACATATGTGCGGTCCTCTTGGGAACAGGTAGTTTTGTCTGGGGCTTATATGCGCTCATGTCCTTTGTTTGTTAGATTCTGGAAGATGCAAGCTAGGAAGCAACATGTTTTTAGGAAATATCCTTGTTGGGGGGCCCCCCATGTGAACCTGCATGGGAAAAAACATGGGTTGATCATCTGCAAAGTTGAGCACTATACACCTGCCCATTTGAATGCTGGGTTTTGATCCAGCCACGTAAGTTTGATGTTTTAAAAAGCCTACTTTCTGTTACCCTTTCAAACCATTGGACCGAATGCGTGTGTGTGTGTGTGTGTGTGCGTGCGTGCGTGCGTGCGTGTGTGTGTGTGTGTGTGTGTGTCTCTGTCTCTTTCTTTGTCTCTGTGTGTGTCTGTGTCTGTGTCTGTGTCTGTGTCTGTGTCTCTGTCTCTGTGTGTCTGCGCGTGTCTGTGTGTGTGTGTCTGTGTGTCTGTGTGTCTGTGTGTGTCTGTGTGTCTGTGTGTCTGTGCCTCTGTGTGTCTGTGTCTCCGCGTGTCTGCGCGGGTCTGTGTCTCTTTGTGCCTGTGGATCTGTGCATCTGTATGCCTGAGTGTGTGAGTGCCTGTGTCTGTGTCTGTGTCTGTGTCTGCGTCTGTGTCTGTGTCTGTGTCTGTGTCTGTGTCTGTGTCTGTGTCTGTGTCTGTGTGCGTGTGTGCGTGCGTGTGTGTGTGTTTGCGCGCCTGCGTCTGTGTGTGTTTGCGCGCCTGTGTCTGTGTGTCAGTGTGTGTGTGTGGGTGTGTCAATGCTTGTTTGTCTGTGTATATTTGCATGTTTGTTCGTTCGTTTAACGGTTTGGTTATTTCTGTGTTTGTGTATTTGTTTCTTCGTGCGTTCGTCTGTTTGTTTGTTTGTTGTTTTGCGTGTCTGTATGTTTCTTTGATTGTTTTATTGAATTTTGTCTCTTTGCCCGTCTTCTTGCTTGGTTGTTTTCTTGTGTACGTGTGTGTGTGTGTGTGTTCATCTGTGCCTGTGTCTGTGTGCCAATGTGTCTGCGTGTGTCTCTGTGCTTGTCGTGTGTCTCTGCGCCTGCTGTGTGTCTGTGTCTATGTGTGTGTCCGTGTCTGTGCGTGTGTTTGTGTGTCTCTGTGGCTGTGTATGTGTCTGTGTTTGTGTGTCTGTGTGTGTGTGTCTGTGTGTGTCTGTCTGTCTGTCTGTCTCTGTCTGCGCGTCTGCGTTGTGTTTGCGTTGTGTCCGTGAGTCAGTGTGGCAGGGCGTGCCTGTGCGTGTAAGTGTGCGGGTGCATGTGCGTGCGTGGGTGCGTGCGTGCGCGTGTGCGCGCGTGCGCGTGTGAGCGTGTGAGCGTGTGCGCGCGTGTGCGTGTGCGCGTGCGCGTGTGCCTGTGCCTGTGCGTGCGCGTGTGCGTGTGCCTGTGCGTGTGGGTGTGTGGGTTTGTGGGTGTGTGAGTGTGTGGGTGTGTGGGTGTGTGGGTGTGTGGGCGTGTGGGTGTGTGGGTGTGTGTGTGCGTGTCTGTGTGTCTGTGTGTCTGTGCGTCTGTGCGTGTGTGCGTGCGCGTGTGCGTGTGTGCGTGCGTGCGTGTGTGCGTGTGTGCACGCGTGCGTGCGTGCGCGCGTGCGTGCGCGCGTGCGCGTGCGCGCGTGCGCCTGTGTGCCTGTGTGCCTTCGTGCGTGTGCCTGTGTGCCTGTGTGCCTGTGTGCCTGTGTGCATGTGTGTGTGTGTGTGTGTGCGTGCCAGCGTGCCTGCGTGCGTGTGTGCGCGTGTGTGTGTGTGTGTGTCTCTGTCTCTTTCTTTGTCAGTGTCGGTGTGTGTGTCTGTGTCTGTGTCTGTGTCTCTGTCTCTGTGTGTCTGTGTGTGTGTCTGTGTGTGTGTGTCTGTGTGTGTCTGTGTGTGTCTGTGTGTCTGTGTGTCTGTGCCTCTGTGTGTCTGTGTCTCCGCGTGTCTGCGCGGGTCTGTGTCTCTTTGTGTCTGTGTTTCTGTGCATCTGTGTTGCCTGAGCGTGTGAGTGCCTGTGTCTGTGAGTGTCTGCTTGTGTGTGTTTATCTGCGTGAGTCTGCGTCTTTGTGTGTCTGTGCCTCAGTTTTGGTCTGCAAGGAAATGAAAGGGGAAACCTCCAACCCGTGTGCTGCCGCTGGGCGCCCAACACCCGGCGGCCTTGGTGGAAGCAATGGTCTTCATCGACCTCAGGTGCGAGCTGCCTACAATCAAGATGTACCCCGAAGCTACCGAGGAGTCATCAGGTTCGTAAGACTGTGAACGCGCCCCAAGATTTGAAAGACAACGTGCCATTGGGCTCAGGTCTCTCCAAGGGACAAGAACTGGAACGACCGCCCCACCCTGTGACCTGCACCTAGTTGCCGAGCGCTGCATGGATCCCAACGCATCTACGGAAACGGAACTGCGCCACCTACTTTCACCCAACTGTACCTTCACGTGGGCGCGCGCCTCAGGTGATGTATTTCCTTTTGGTGTTCCCCGCAAAAACAAGCGCCGCATTTCAAACGCCTCCCCCACCTCCCAACTCCCAACCTCCCAACAAAACACTTTGCTTTGAAAAGTCCCGGCATAAGAAGTTTGCGTGGCTAAACTCGAATGCAGCCACACAGGCGCCAAAAAGTTGATCCAACGCAACTGTCACTTCTGCGTATCACAGCTGTCGGCCGGCTGTCTGTCACATCTCTGACACGGCTGCCTGTCACATCTGTCTGTCACGGGCTCTGGCACAGCTGTCTGTCACAGCTCTGTCACGGCTGTCTGTCACATCTGTCGGCCGGCTGTCTGCCACAACTCTGTCCCAGCTGTCTGTCACGGGCTCTGGCACAGCTGTCTGTCACAGCTCTGTCACGCCTGCCTGTCACATCTGTCGGCCGGCTGTCTTCCACAGCTCTGCCACAGCTGTTTGTCTGGCTCTGTCGCGGCTGTCTGTCACAAGCTCTGTCAGACTGTCACAGCTGCCGTCACATAGGTCGGTCACGGGCTCTCTCTGTCGCAGCTCTGTCACAGGCAATGTCACAGCTGCCTGTCCCATCTGTCTGTCACAAGCTCTGTTGAGGGCTGGTCTTGTGGCGTTCGGACGCCACTTAAAGTCTAACAGCCGCAAACCTCAAACCAAAATCCAAATGTCAGTCCCCCAACGAAAACCAACAAAACAACTCTTTTTTTTTTTTGAAATTTTATGTGCCTCCCCAAAACCCGATTTCCTGCGCCAAGCACAGTCATCAAGGCTGGCGCTCCGAGGATGCGGGGAACACCATCTCCGAGAGCTTCGGCACGTAGATCCAAATACCTCGCCGCAATTTCAGGTTCTGATCGTTTTTCAGGTTTGGATCCAAATACTGCGCCGCCAACGAACCTCACTTCGAATTGGTGGATTCCGGCTGACAGCTGACGTGCGAGCGCCATAAGGCAGCATCGTGGGTGTGCCCCGCGGATGTCCAATTTACCGCAAGAACCGGGCTTCAAATCTAGAATCTAAATCCAAACCATCGTTTAGGGACTACCAAGCCCTCCTCCCGTCACGCAAGTGAGACTTCCGATTGAGTGGGATTGGCCAGGCAAAATATCCTCTTGTCTTGATTGCCACTACAATTGGTCTTCCCAGAAAGCGTCAAGCCAAGAAACTCAGGGAGAGAGCTGTGCCAAAATATGTGGGAACTATTTGAATCACTCCAATTTGAGCCAGTATCGTACTCCAAGAAATGGACCTTGAGCGAAAAGCTTGACTTGAAAAGCCTTTGGGTTCTCCGTTCTCGAGCCACGAAAACCCACATGCCGCATCACACGCACCCCAAAGCAAACTCGCTATTCCCAATTATTAGTGGGGTGCTCTTGAAAACCAGGCCAAACTGATGACTCAAAACAAAAATTGCCCTTGCGCAAGCGCTGCACAGCATGCGGGCGCAGCAACTTTTTCGAGAGAAAAACTCTCAGTGCTGAGACCTCGGCGCGGAGGTGCTGGCTGTTTGTCAGTCGCAAAGCTATTCAAGCCATAAGGGGGCCATTGCAGCCTAGTGACTCTCTTGGGGGCTTAAGGGCCAGAAAGGGCCATGGGGCCATGACCTTCCCATGGTTTCCCTTTGCTATGGCTCTGGATCAGTCTTGGGAGTAGGGAAATCAATTTGGGAATGAACCTTGCGACTTCAGGAAACTACAAGAGATGGTTGATGGAATCATTCCCTCCCCTCAGTACAATTCTGGTTTTGGAGATGGCATGGGGAAGCCTCTATTGGACATACTCCTTTCCATGCGAATACCCAATAGTATTACCAGAACCTGATCGGGATCTAGCCGAGCCTGATACCTATCAACTACAACACCCACAGAACACCCAAAATCAATACAGGCCAAAACACTCCCAGGCCAAAGTAGCTGACACAATTCCCTTTAATTGGGAAAGTACAGGTGATGACGAAAACATACGTAGGGAAATTGCACCACGGATCATAACCACAAAAATGGCGCGGTTCTGTAGATCAAGGCGCTGGATGGAAAGTCTCCCACGTGCGACTGGCGCCTTCGACTCGCCCCGAGCTTTACTCTTCTTTCACCTACGGCATCCAAACCGCGAGCAAATCCATGCGCCCCTAAGGCTTTTTAGGCTTGGCCGCCGATGAGTAACCAGTGACCCAAAAAGTAGCCACTCGACAGAACTTATGCGGAAAAAGGCGCGAGCCCTTACTGACCTCCTTTCTTTTCTTTTTTTTTGGGGGGGGTGCGGGGACCAAGCAAAAAATAGATTCAGAGGGTACGGCATCCACTGAGCAAGCTGTTATTCCCAAAAATGCCCAACCTCCTGTTGGCTGCTTTGACAGAAGGCAGGCACCGAGCCAAACCAGCCATTTCCGGGTCCAATTTCAGAAATAGCCCTCAGACATTGGGAACTGACTCTTTCTGTACCACCAAAAGTGGGCCATCCCTATGACTACTCCACCACTTCTGCGATCTTCTTGGTGTCCCAAAAGGCGACCCAACGCATTCAACTGCGTGGGCCCCGACACGCCGTCAATCCACGCATTGTTGGCTGGTTAAAAACAACCACTGACTAACCAGGGGTCGCTTTCTATTGTGGATTGATTTCTTTACATGTTTTCCTAGCAGGGCACCCCCACCTGAATAGGAATTGGGAGGTTGCTTTTACGACATGGACGGCAGCCCCTTTTCATCATCCCCCGCAGCAGTCACAATCACATCCTGGCATTCAAATGGCCTGCCGAAAGCTACATAAAGAATCAAAGAGCTGCCGAACCTATTGACGAGATGGTCCCCAACCGACCTTCACTTACAGGGGCTTGATTCTGGCTAGGAGCTCTTCTTCCGCCTGCCGTCTGCCACCAACACGCTCCAGAATAAGAAGGACACAGGCTCCAACATTATTGCTTTGTTGCTACCCCACCTAAACTGGAGGCCCAGGGAAAACACTTGTCAAGGGACCTTCTCGCGGGTTCTGTGGCAACGTGGGTGGGCGGGTATCTTTTGTTTTCCAGTTTTTCGAGAAACTAGAGGGAAGGAAGTGGCCATGTGGAAGGCCCTAAACAAAACCATGTCGTCGTCCTGAGTAGTTGTTCCTTCTTGGGGTACCCCATAGGCTTCAACGACAAAGGGAACATGGGAAGTCACAAATGGAGGTCATCGCTTCAAGGTCCATCACCCCAAAAGCAACCCACCTTCCGAACCAGCCCAACAGTCAATGCTTAAAACCGGCCCAAAAAAGGACATCTACTTGGCCAGACCTCAACCCCCTGCAAAAACAAGATGGCAAAATGGTGGCGGCAGCGACGGCCTCTGCCTCCTGCTCCTGCTGCTTCGGCTTGGGTGCCACGTGATACTCGAAGGACCGCTGGGTGAGGACGAGGATCGCTGCGCGCCAAATGGCATAGCCCATCATCAAGAAGTACAAGGGAGACGCCCAGGTCAGATCTCAGCGGACTTTGTCGGCAAGAGCATGGCAAGAGCATGGCAAGAGCATGGCAAGAGCTCAACCGTGCAAAGCAGATGCGGTGTTTTCTGTTTGTTGATTTATTTACAATTTATCGATTGTGTTGGGGGGGAGGGCGCGGGGGCAGTTAGACAAAGCATGTTTCTCCGAGAACGGAGGCGATGTACTCTCACAACCCGCAGAGCCTGCATTTGACATTGAGATTGCTTCAGTTTGCCAAAAGACAAGGATTGAATTGGAATGCCCTCCTTTCCCATGGGCAGAAGGAACGCGAACTGGCTATTCCCTCTAAGAGGTTCTTCTGCAAAGGGTCATGCTCCAGTCCCACGAGGTGTTGCCACCCTTTCCTGGCCTCAAACCCTGGCTTTGCGGTGCCTGGGAATTCGGACTTCGGCTGGGAGAGCGGCTGCCCCCGGGCCCTGTGCAGCAAGCGGCTGAGGAGATTCTTCATGAAGTGCAGCGCATTGGGCAAACTTGGCTGTCCGTCGATGCGGGGCTTCAGCAGCGTGGAGTAGGTGAGAAAGAACCTGGCAACAAATATGCGACAACTCTGGGCGCCAAACATCGCCAGCGCCACGCCCAAGGTGTGAGCCATGGCAGCCATGACTGAAACGCCCTTTACTTTAAAAAGTTTGGCAGCCCCCAAACCAGGGCTGTAGGGTACATCCACATACCACCTTCCAGAAAAAGCGACTCGTCTGAACTGGCAACGCATATCCTTTAAGGGACTCTGGAGGGTAGGTCTGTAAGGGATGGGGGATCATCTTCGGAGCCCCAGCATGCCGAGCCACACCACGGACACTGCTAGCGTGCAGGTCACAGTGACCACCATGAGATACCGAGGGAAAAGGCCGACGTGGACGAACAAGAAGTCCAGATCCTGACGCTGAGCCGCTGAGATGGCTGGACAGAAAACGATGTTGAGCAGCACTTCTTGGGTTGCTGCCTACACTGAAGTGCATGAAGTGGGCTACAATTACTTGGATGCAGATGGCACATGCCCATTGATCTAAACACTGGAACTAACCTTGACCAAAATCATGAGGACACCTACACAATCTACAGTAAGGCTTCGGGAAGTTGTGGCTGCACAAAGTTCACTTCGCACCAATAGGAGGTGGTTTATCATTGCTCATCCCAGTACTTATGGGCCATTCATCCATCCAAAGCTCGCGCAGGATGCTATCCATGCACAACAAGGGCCGGGGTTCTTGGGTATGTGTCAAACTATGGGGACTTCTCTCATGTGGGCTTTGCTTTCCGCTTTAATTAAACCCATCTGGGTAACAACGGAGAGTCATGTGAACCCCCTCACAAACCCCGTCCGGAGCCATCCACAAAGCGTTTCAGGGATACCTACTAGCTGGCCAAGGTTGCGCTTCTGGAAGCTTTCACCTGAGATGCCTTTTGTTCTTGCACATTCTCGTAATAATTTGACGGAGCATGATACTTCATGGCCCCAGGCCTGCCGCACAAAAACCCACGCGTGAATTCGACCCGCGGCTGACCCAATCATGTCATTCCAGCATGACATGTGAGAAGCATCAACTCTTGTCTGACTGAAGAATATGGGACACCCCCTATGAATCAACCATGGGTTCATTCATGATGCGGGGTAACATTGGGGGAGCGAGTGGCATCTTGCAATGCACGGTGGTGCTTTTGAGACCTTTTTGACAAGCTTGGGCTTAGAAAATCCGGAACCAATTCTTCAGGCGGCCAGCTGTACATACAAGAAGTATTCCGGTCCGGTGAAGGACATCACGGTGAGCTCGGTTTACCCCCCCCCCCCCCGGATCGGTGAGCTCGCCATAAAGTATGCAACGCATTTGCTCCCTGAATCCTGGCTCGTACGTGCAGAAGGGGTCCCCTCAAAAGAAACATTGGCTTTTGGACTAACATTCACTGTATTACCATGACCCCATGAAACCCCGTGTTAGACCCAACTAAAATTGCCGAGTCTTGGCGCTGCTTTGAAAAAGCCCGTCCTGCGACCGGGCCTTCCCGAAAAAGACCTGCATCAGAGTTTGCAGGCCGAATTCCTGGCTCGCATCGCAAACGGCCCCACGGAAACAAGGGTCAAGCCCCAAATGTCCGATTCCGTCAAGACTTCCTTGCCGAGACCCCTGGCTGGAACACAGAAAGACAGCATTGGCATTGCCAAACTGAGCTGTCTGATTTTGGGGTTTCCCCTGAGAGATAACTCTCGCGTCAAAGCAAGGGGGCCATATGGGGCCATGTTTGGGTTGGTCTTTGGCCCACAAAAGCTAGACTGTTAGGTTAGGTTAGACACTTAAAGGGCCACAGTCAGTTCTTGCTCAAAGGACTTGATCAATGTTGAACCCTGAGCC